TAAAAAAAAAAAAAAAAAAAAAAAAAGAAATTCTGACCCTCTTAGAAAAGAAACAGTTAACAGAAACTGACTTGGAGAGGGCCTACATATTGGGTTTAGCAGATACTTCAAAACAAATGTTAATAGAGAAAAAAATTGTTTTATTTAGTGAACACAGAATGTCAAGCAAGAAGTAGAAACCATAAACAAGAACTGAACAAATTCTGAGTTCTTTTCAACAATAATCAAAATAAAAAACTTTCCTATATAAGCTCAAAAAATTTTGAAATAGCAGAAGAATGAATCAGTAAAAATGAAGATAAAGTATTAGAAATTATCCAATCTAAAGAACAAAGGGCAAAGAGAAGTTAAATGAAAAGAAACAAAGTCTTCAAGTCTCTGGGACAGTATCAATTTATTTTTAAAATTTTTTTGGTGGAATAAGGGGTCAAATGCAGGAGCAACCACCACTAAGCTATATCCCAGCCCTTGCTATTTTTAGACAGGGTCTTGCTAAATTGCCCAGGCTGGCCTTGACCTTAAAATTCTACTACCTCAGAGTAGCTAGGATTATAGGCTTGTACCACTGTACCCAGCTCATCTACTACATGTGCAACTGAAATTCCAGAAGATGAGGGGAAGATATTTAAAGAAACAATGACTGTAAGCTCCCCAAAATTTGTGAAAAATATCAGTTTATAGATCTAAGAAGCTCAATAGACCTTAAGCATGATAACGGAAAAGAAAACTATGCCTAGGCACAACATAGTCAAATTTCTAAAAGATAATGATAAAATCTTGAAAGCAGCAAGATAAAACAGACAACATAAAATGACACAACAGCAAGATAAAATGACACTATTGATGGCTGACTTCTTGTCAGAAACAGTGCAAGCCAGAAAACAGTCTCAGTTACTGAGTAGCTGAGGATTACAGATGCATGCCACCATGTCTAGTCTTTTACTTTTTTTTTTTTTTTTTGTACTGGGGATTAAACTCAGGGGCATTCAACCACTGAGCCACATCCCCAGCCCTGTTTTGTATTTTATTTAGAGACAGGGTCTCACTGAGTTGCTTATTGCCTCACTGAGGCTGGCTTTGAAGGAGCAATCCTCCTGCCTTAGCCTCCTGAGCTGCTGGAATTACAGGTATGTACCACCACTCCTGGCTAGCCTTTTATATTCTTAAGTGACATGCAATCATTTAAAACAAAAATCATAACATTTTGAGTTTACAATGTACATACAGTTGATCCTACGTATTTGTGTTCTACATCTGTCGATTCAATCAACTGCAGACTGAAAATATTGGGGGGAAAAACTGTCTGTACTGAAAATGTACAAACTTTTTTCTTGTCATTAAGAAAAAACAATATAGTATAGTAATTATTTAAATAGTATTTGTGTCCATCTACAACTAAAAAAAAATATTTTAACCCCAGTCACTTTGCAAAAACAATTTTTCAGATTTTTATAAAGTTAAACACATTTACTATGTGACCCAGAAATTCTATTTTAGGGGTCTCTTCAAGAAAAATGAAAACATGTTCACAGTAATTTGTAAGCAAATATTCACAGCAGCATTATTCATAATAACCAACAATTGGAAGCAACCTAAATGTGCATGAAATTGTGAATAGATAAATATGGCATACTCTTATAATGTAATACTACTCTGCAAAAAAAAATGAAAAAACTACAGACATATGCAACAATATGGGTGAATCTCAGAAATAAACTATGTGAAAGAAGACAAAGACAAAAGACTGCTCATGATTCCATTCATATGAAATCCTACAAAAAGAAACCATAGTGACAAAAAACGATTGCCTCAGAATTGAAAGGGAAATTAATGTAAAGGGCAGGATAGAATATTTTGGAATGATATGCTAGACCTGTATGCCAAAACTCACCAATGCAAAAATGGGTGTGTTTTATTAAATGTAAATTATACCTCAAATAGTTGAAAAACATGAACATATTAGCAATTTCTCCTTGACGAATGAGAAATGAAAAAAAAATAATAAAATACCAGTTTGGGGTTCAATCTCTGGTACTCCCACAAAATAAAAAACAACAATAACATTTTTTTTTTCATTAGGGGATTCAACATGTTAAGGAAAATTAAGTAAAACAAAGATAAGACAAAGAGAGGGCCACATTGTTTTTTTTGTTGTGTTAATGTACCTTTATTTACTTATTTATTTTATGTGGTGCTGAGGATGGAACCCAGTGCCTCACACATGCTAGGCAAGTGCTCTGCCACTGAGCCACAACTCCAGCTCCCCCACATTGTCTTTTTAATGTCTTATAAAGGATAATTTAACAGGCCCACTCAACAATTATTTAATTCTCTAAAAAAGCTCCTTTTGCTATTATTTTTATTTTTTTAAAATTTTGATGCTGGAGACCAAACTCAGAGCCTAGTGCATGCTAAATATGTGCTCTATCAACTGAGCTACAACCATAATCTCAACTATCTACTGGTTGAAGTCCAGACATAGTAAAGATACATGTTATCTTGTTTTCCTAACAGAATTGGAAATTATTTCTATCTAGTAGAAAATATAACCTCAAAGTTTATTCGTTTATTGCTTTGTAGGACATTAATCATTTTGGTAAACTTTATAAACTTTGTTTAACTTTATAAAAATCTGACTTACAATCTTTTTTTAACATTCTTTTTTCAAATACCTATAAATAGCAGGGTGCAGTGGCCCACACCTGTAATCCCAGCAGCTCTAGAGGCTAAGGCAGGAGGATCTCAAGTTCAAAACCAGCCTTAGCAAAAGTGAGGTGTGGTGCTAAGCAACTCAGTGAGACCCTGTCTCTAAATAAAATACAAAATATGGCTGGGGATGTGGCTCAGTGGCCGAGTGCCCCTGAGCTCAATCTCGGGTACTCCCCACTCCCCCCCAAAACCTATAAAAAACCAAAAAAACAAATACCTATAACACGTGAGTCTTTAAAAGGCTGTTTTGAACCAATTTTACCTGCTGTTTCTTGAAACCAATGAGTTGAAAAGTTTTGACCCAACTTCATATTATAGTTGTATAAGAAACATGCTTTTTTAAAAAAATTTTAGTTGTATATGGACACAATATCTTTATTTATTTATTTTTATGTGGTGCTAAGGATTAAACTCAGTACCTCATGCTTGCAAGGCAACCGGTCTACCGCTGAGCTATAACCCTAGCCCATAAACATGCTTTTAATATTTAAAAAAAATCATACTTATTGAACGGCTTATTTGAGTTCCACTTCAAATCATCTCAGGTTCGTGTCTCTGATCACATTTCGCCTAATCTGAGTCACAGATTACACTGGAAGTGGAAATTGGCAGATTTATTTCTCAGTACACTGTACTTTACAATTGTATGGGAATCTTAAAGGAGCATCCTTTCTTTCTTTTACTCCCAGTGTTATAACCTGCCACATAGAAACATTTTAAAGACAATTTCCCAATCCTTGCTTGCATCAAGCTTCAGAATATAACTTCTTCATAAAGAATGTGATTTAATTTTAATTTAGAAGTCAATACTTTGTTTCTTGGATACTTCTTCTTCATCACCAACTTCATCTTCAGTAACCTCAGATCCAGTGGTATATTCTTCTTCTTCTGAAAATAATGACTGTTGTTTCTAAATTAACAAACACATCTATTACAAATGTATTATTATCAACTCTGTAATGAATTCCTTAAAACACATTTAACTATACTTATTTTGGATGAATTAGTTGAACAAGAGCTGATAAAATGACTCCTGTCTACCTTGCACAACATTCAGGATATGGTCATAGGAATTTCTATGTTTAGGGCTGGTGATGTAGCTCAGTGGTAGAACACTTGCCAAGCAGTGTGAGTTTACAAGTTTGATCCCCAGAACTGAGAATTTCTATATTCTGGATTGCATTACATCTAATATTTTTAAAAAAACATTTTTTAAAGATGTTGATGGAACTTTATTTTATTCATTTATTTATATGTGGTGCTGAGAATCAAATCCAGTGCCTCACACATGCTAGGCAAGTGTTCTACCACTGAGCCACAACCCCAGCACCTACATCTAATATTTTAAAATTTATTCCCTTCACAGAAACTAGAAAAGTGATAGACAGATAATCAGTGTTTGTTGAACTTTTGTCACTCAACATGCTACTTGATGTTAAGATTAAATTAAAACACAAAGGCTGGCATTAAAGTTGTTAAACAAGTACATGTGTACACTCAATGAATGTGGCCTTTATTACTTAAACTTTTCTGTACCTATCAGTCCTATTGTTTGCTATCCCTAACCCAAATTTCTATCCTATTTTTATAAATACTGAGTAAGCAGATTAAAAAAAGAACCAATTAAACAATCAAATAATGAGACCTTAGTAGATTTTTTATTTGTTTAATGTTCTATATGTGATTTAAAGTGACTTTAAAAAGTCTTTTAATAAGATCTATGGCTTATGCAATCAGATAATAGAGATGATATGTCCCTCTTAAACAATCTAACAACATTTTTAGTATGTGCAAAATTGAAGAAGCTGAAAAAGTAGATATACATTTCACTAAAACTTACAAAGTAAGTCACTGATAATATTCTATTAAATTAAACTTTAATTTAGGAAGAGAGCGAGCCATGAAAGCTGAATATAATTGCTTACTTACCAGTTGCAGAGTCCAGTTTTTTAGGGACAAGAACTGTAAAAAGAGGAAGAAGAGATTACTAAATCTGCACCCACTCACATTGCACCTCCTTATTTTCACATGGATATTACAGAAGAGTTAAAACAAGTTCCTTTCCCAGTTGAAACAACTTAAAATTCAGGTTGAAACTGATATATTAAGTTAATATATCTGTCTTTTAAATCTTCTATTAAGAGAAGAATGTGAATGTTTAAAAAAAGCAAAAAGGGCTGGGCATGTAGTTCAGTGGTAGAGTGCTTGCCTAACATGCAACAGAGTCTTGGTTTAATTCCCAGAACTACAGGAAAAACAAAAAAGAAAAAGAAAAAAATTGACACTTTTCCAGCTTCATTTCCAAATGATAAAAGTAAGTCACATGTAAAGATAACATACTTTTTGTTATTTTTGAAAAATTGAATGTATTTGAAAAACTAAACATATTTCTGATTTAATAAAAAATTTCATACCAAATGTTATAGAAATAGAGGAGACAAAATATTCATTCATATTATCTTCATTTCTTGGTAGTTCTTAATTCTTTGAGGGCAAGGAACATATCCTAGCACTCTTATATCAACTCAGCATAATACCTTGTTATGATTAGATAGTTCAATTTCAACTTAAACTGACTAAGTTCCTGTCAAACATGAAACATCATCAATTGTTCATATGGAGAATAAGTAAAATTAGTTACTCACAGCATTGAGCTCTCCAGTTTTGGGGCCCCATGGTGTATGTGGCTCCAGTAAAACATCACATTCTAGACCCTTTTCATCAGAGGAGCCAACTGCAGGATCACTTGAAAGAAAACACATTTTTGTGAATTGTGAAAATTCTTAAAAATTTAAATGAGAATATCTTTTAACTGCAAATATTTTATTGTCAATTTTAAGAAAAATGGTTTGGATTAAATTCTCACACCACAAAAAAGAATACACTTCCTGAATATAAGGATGCTATTTCAACATTTTAATTTCTTAATTCATCTAGCAATTCCCCTTTATGGAAAGATGACCTCAACCATCAAAACTTTTTCTAGCTGTATCAATTAAGCAATTAAAAAGGGATTGGGCTAGGGGTATAGCTTGGAGATAGAGTATTTGCCTAGTACCTATGAAGTTCTAGGATTCATCCCCAGTAACAACAAAAAAATGGGAGAGGAAGTGGAGGAGGAAGAGGGGGAGGGAGAGAAGGGGAAGGAATAAGGAGGAGGTGAAGTAGGAATGCTCAAGCAAATGTGGAAAAAATTAAAAATCCTCAAAAAATTGGATTTAGCATCCCAACATTTTTAATCACCAAGAACTCTTCATTAGTTTTTTTTTTCTCTTGGATCTCAGATATTTTTAAGTATTTTGCCTACCAAATAAATATCTGCTTACACTTAATTGTAAGCTAACATAATTTCAGCTAAACTATCTGAAACAATGAAAACTACTTAAGGACTGACATTATTGATTTGGGAAAGCACTAGATATCAGGAAATTCTGAAATGGGAACCTTCACTGAATTCCCCCACTGAATAAAGCTGTAATTCAGTGTTGTTGGATTTTTTTCCCCCTCACCTAACCAAATCTTTAGAAAAAGGCACAACAATGACATCTTTGTGCTTATTTAGATCGTCCAGTATTCTAGTAGTTGGAACGGACAGTAAATCTCCACCTTCACCTTGATCATGAAGCGTAACCATGTGGTCCTTCACTTTACAGCCCTGTCATGTAAGAGATACTAAATTAGAGAGGTTGATTCATTAATAAAAACATTTCTTTAAAGATCACTGTTCTTATTCTTCTTTGCTTAGTCAAATCATATTTAAAAACATTTCTTGAAAAAAAAAGTAAAAAGATTGAAACATAAGTGTACAGCTTCAAAAATACCCAAGAATATCCATTTAACCACTACCCACCTTAAAAAAAGGAAAACACAAATGCACATATGCACCTGTGCACACGTACACGCATACACATGAGAACACTCCAGGAATCACCCATGGGTCCATTCCTGATCATTTAACTGCTTCCCTTCTCCCAAAAGATAATTTCCATCCTCTATCCCAATTGTATGGTACATTCCCAGCCCTTTTTTTAAAATTTTGAGACAGTGTCTTGCTAAATTGCCAAGGCTTGTGATTCTCTTGCTTCAGCCTCTTAAATTGCTGGATTACAAGTATGTATGCCTGGCATATTGTCTTTTTTTTTTTTTTTTTTGGTACTGATTTGTAGGATTCATATCTATATAGGTGAGTTTGGGGAACATTTACATCTTTGAGTGTTCCAATTTAGGAACGTGGTACAACTATCCATTTTTTTAAAGTCTCCTTATTTTCTCTCATTAAATAATGGTTTGTTTTCTGCACAGAGTTCTTGCATATATTTTGTTAGGAATAAATCTAGGTACTCACTTCTCAACCCATACCTATATATAGGGAGTGGTTCATCTTTGGTGCTTTATAAATTTTTTTTGTATGGATGATGGTGATGAAAAGCTTTAAGTTCCTTTCACCCACTCATGAAATTTAATTATATAACATTTCAACAGTGTTAGCAATCACAGAATATAATCTATACTAGTATACATATACAGCACCAAGATATATGTGCAAAGATGTTCATTACAACACTTGTAATACCATCAATCTGGAAACAACATAAATGTTCATCAACAGGATAATGGTTAAAGAAATTGTGATATATGCATAGTTTGGATTATCACACAGCAGTTAAATAAACTGTCATAGAGTTTGTTGTTGAGTATGTTGTATGTTGTTGAGTGGAAAAGTGCAAGTTTCAGAATAATATGAGTAGTATAATTCCATATCTGAAACAAAACAAAACAAAACAATACAAATCATTTGTGCCTAAAATGTATTTAAAAGGTCCAAAAGGAAACTATTAAACATAGTTACCTATAAGGAAATGGTGACTAGGAGAATGGTGTTAAGAGGGACTTTATTTCTTCTTATACTTATTTATGTACTGTTAGAAAACTTTTCTACATGAATATATTACTTTTATACTTTAAAAACAATATGAGGAGAAAGGGTTTACATAAAAGTGTTAGGGAGTGCGTTACTATAAAAGCGCAACATTCAAAATTTACCTTTGTAAGCTGAGTGGGATCAAATCGAAGAACCTTTTGATTGCAGCAGGGATAAATTCCAGTGCCAACAGTGCTCAGTGAGTTTGCTGCAGTAGAATAAACTACTGTTTCTGAGTGGTACTGACAATGTGAAAGTTCAATACAGAGAAAAGCCTGAGAAAAAGAAATATATAAAATCAATGATTATTCCCACAATGAAATTATACATCTCAGGGGTTGGAGTTGTGGCTTGTGGTGGAGCGCTTGCCTGGCATGTGTGAGGCACTGGATTCAATCCTCAGCATCACATAAAAATAAATAAATAATGGGCTGGGGATGTGGCTCAAGCGGTAGTGCGCTCGCCTGGCATGCGTGCGGCCCGGGTTCGATCCTCACCACCACATACAAAGATGTTGTGTCCGCCGATAACTAAAAAATAAATATTAAAAAAAATTCTCTCTGTCTCTCTCTCTCTCTCTCTCTCTCTCTTAAAATAAATAAATAAATAAGTAAAATAAAGGGGCCCAAAACCACAAATATACAGAGCACTGGAGGAACCCAGCAACCCCATCAGGGTAGTGCCCAGGACACATTGTCCATCAGATCCCTCATCAGACAAACCAGAGGGAGCGCAGGGTTGGACATCTGTGCCTCCGCCAGAGCAGTACTAACTCCAGAGATGGGAGTTCAAATCATTCCTACAGGGGTAAAAGGACCTCTTCCCAAAGGAACAGTAGGCTTATTATTGGGATGCAGCTCTTCTACTCTAACAGGACTTATGATAAGTCCTGGGGTAATTGATCCTGATTATGAAGGTGAAATAAAAATTATAGCCAGTTCTCCAAAGGGTATATCAGTAATTTCACCAGGAGATAGAATAGCACAGTTACTAATAATATCTAGCCTACATGATAAATTTTTCAGTCGTACTATAGAAAGAGGTTCCGAGGGATTAGGCTCCACGGGTGTAGATTGGGCTATGCTTTCTTTAAATTTAGATTCTTGCCCCATGCTAAAACTAAATATTCAAGGACATGAATTTAATGGGCTACTGGATACAGGTGCAGACCTTAGCATCATCTCTCATCAAGAATGGCCAAAACATTGGCCATTACAACAAGCCACTCAAATGCTTCGAGGCCTAGGAGTGGCGACTAATCCCCATAGAAGTGCAATGGTATCAGATTGGAAGGTTTCCTGAGGAGGTGTTTTGTTTGGCGTATGTGGTTCTAAAAATAAAGTTCGTTTCTTTTGACAAGTGGCTCCTGAATTGTGCCCAGCCAGACTGCAGCATCCATCAACAACTAAAAAAATATTTTTAAAAATTATACATCTCAAAAATACTATACTGAAAAACATGTGTTGTGTATCTCACTTATATGAAATGTACCAGAAAGGCAGATTTATAAAGTAGATTAATGATTGTCACAGGGAGTGGAAGCAGATGGGCAAATGGGACCTTTCTGGGTGATGAAAATGTACTATACCCAGTTTGTGGTGATTATTGTATAACTGTAAATTTACCAAAAATTACATAGTTGTGATAAGTGAAATTTATAGCATGTAGTGTACCTCAATAAAGTTATGAAAAAGAAAAACCACTTTATTCAAAATTCTAATGAATTAAACTGATATTTACTCAGAAAATTTCCAATGAAACATGCAATAAAAATTTGCCTTACTTTATTATTCCTTGACACATATACACATATATATTTCTTGGTGGTATTGGAATTGAACTCAGTGGTGCTTTACCACACCCTAAGGAAATGGAGACTAGGAGAATGGTATTAAGAAGGACTTCTATTTCTTCTTATACTTATTTATGTACTGTTAGAAAACTAACAGAAAACTGGAATTTTATTATTTTGAGACAGGCTCTTGCTAAATTTCTGATGCTGTCCTTGAACTTGTGATCTTCCTGCCTCAGCCTCCTGAATCTCTGGGATTACATATGTGCACCACTGTGCCTGGCTCCTTGATAATTTTTTCTATGACATATTTTTGAGGTAAATATTTATCATCAGTATTAATGAAAATTGTCCTTTGAGTTATTAGAGAAAAGACCTTATCAAGGTTTAATTATAGATTAAATAATCAGATTTCAAATGTGTATATAAATTGGCAAAAATTCAAAGACAAAAACAAAATTAGCTGGGCAGAGTGGCTCACAGCTGTAATCCCAGCAGTTAGGGCTGAGGCAGGAAGATCACAAGTTCAAGACCAGCCTCAGCAACTTAGTGAGGCCCAAGCAACTTAGCGAGATCCTGTCTCAAAAATTAAAAAAATTAAAAAGGGTTGGAGGGACTGGGGCTATAGCTCAGTGGCAGAGTGCTTGCCTAGCATGTGTTATGCACTGGGTTCAATCCTTAGCACCACATAAAAATAAACAAATAAAATAAAGGCATTCTGTCCATCTATACCTGCAAAAACTAGAAAAAAAAAAAAAGGAATAGGGATGTGTCTCAGTGGTTGAGAGCCCATGGGTTCAATCCCCAGTATCAAAACAAAACAAAACAACAAACAAGCATAAAGTCCCCACCATCAACAAATTAACACCCCCCCCCAAAAAATCAAACAAACCTGACAATATCAAATGTTAGTGAGATATACAGAAATAAGAACTCTGACACATACCTGGTAGGAATGCAAAAAGGTTGAGGAACTTTAGAAAACTGCTAGGTAAATGGTAAATTTTATATTTATTATAGAATCTTATAATCTTACTTCTAGGAAATTAATCAAGAAAAGTAAAAACCTATATTCATAGGAAAACCTGTAAGGAAATGTTTACAGCAACTTTCTTCATAATGGTTCTCATCTAGAATCACTACAAATGTCCTTCAGCTGGCAAATGGAATAACGTATTGAGCTATATTCATATAACAACTCTACCTGGCAATAAAAAGAAACAAACCAATACATGCAACAACAGGGAAAAATTTCAATTCCATTTTGCTGAATGAAAGAAGTTATAGTTGAATAGCTAAATACTGTATGGTTTTATTTAGATGATATCCTGGAAATGGCAAAACTATAGACAGAAAACAGATCAGACTCCAGTTCAGAGTGACTGGAATCACTTCTTCCTGGGAAGAAGAAATTAACTGAAAAAGGGCAAATGGAAGCTTTTTAGAGTGATGGAAGTATTCCGTGCTTTGATGGTAATGGCAGTAATATTACTATGTGTATTTACCAACCTCAATACGGATGGATTTTATTATATATAGAATATGATTCAGTAAATTTGATTTAAAAAATTGTGGGAAGGGCTAGGGATATGGCTCAGTGGTAGAGCACTTGTCTAGCATTTGTGAAGCCCTGGGTTTGAACCCTAGCACTGTAAAAATAAAATAAAATTAAAAAACCCTAGCACTGTAAAAATCAAATCAAATCAAATCCTGGAAACAGAGAGAGCTCATTAGGTGGGAACTTATATGTTTGTAAATCCCACTCTGATAGTTTTTGATAAACTGATTTTCCTTCCCTCTATTGAAAATCATTACCAAAGTGAAAGAGGAAGAACTTCTAGGAGGGGAGGAAGACTTTAAAAATTCATAAGAAATTATATGTAGAAAACTTGGGACTGGGGTTGTGGCTCAGTGGTGGAGTGCCTGCCTGGGTTCGATCCTCAGCACCACACAGAAATAAAATAAAGATATTGTGTCCACCTAAACTAAAAAATAAATTAAAAAAAGAAATTATATGTAGAAAATTTGATTTATAATAAGATTAATTAGGGATTAACTTTTCTAAAGACCTATTTTTAATTTTTTTTGTAGTTGTACATGGACAGAATGCCTTTGTTTATTTTTATGTGGTGCTGAGGATCGAACCCAGGGCTTCACATGGGAGAGGCAAGCGCTCTGCCACTGAGCTATAGCCCCAGCCCCATTTCATGCTATAAAATTTTCTTTCAAATAGCAAGATTTCTTGTAATTTTATTATAGTCTTCATTCATAAAAATGAACAGGGCTAGGGGCTGGGGTTGTGGCTCAGCAGTAAAAACACTTAACCTAGCTTGTGCGAGACCCTGGGTCCAATCCTCAGCACCACATATAAATAAATAAAATAAAGTTAAAAAAAAATGAACAGGGCTAGGGATATGGCTCAGTGGTATAGTGCTTGTCTAGCATGTCTGAGGTCCTGGGCTTGATTTCCAGTGCCATAAAAAAACAAAAACCCAAACCTTTTTGGGAACACAATTGTTTTAACAAAAACAATTATAATTAAAACACACAATCGCACAAACACACCCCAATAGCACCCTATCCGTAAAGTGCTTCTGAATTTCCACAGAAATTTACTGGCCAACATGGAAATATTTTGACTAAGAATAATTAGAGGAAGTAGGATTTTTTTTTTTTTTTTTAAGCATTGAAACAATAAATTTGGTCACTCCCTCCCCACTGCCCCAATACTGGGGATTGAGCTCAGGGACACTCTACCATTGAGATACATCTTTACATGCCCAGATTTTTATTGAAATAGGGTCTTGGCTAAGTTGCCACGGCTGGCTTTGATCTGCCTGCCTCAGTCTCTGAAATCATTGGGATGACAAGGATATTGGGCACTTAAAACCTGTTGCTTTTCTAAAATCCAGTCAGGAACTGATTATTTCTTTTTAAAAAAATATTTATTTTTTTAGTTTTAGGTAGACACAATATCTTTATTTTTTATTTTTATGTGGTACTGAGGATCAAACCCAGTGTACCATGCATGCCATGCAAGCGCACTACTGCTTGAGCCACATCCCCAGCCCAGGAACTGATCATTTCATCAATAAAAATAAAATGGAGGGGGGAAAAATTGCAAGAGAAATGAAGCCAGATACAAGCAATGTTTAACGGCAACACTGCTTTTGCCACTAGTTTTTTTTTTTTTTTTTTAAGATAATCTGGGATTGAACCCAGGGGTACTTTACCACTGAGCTACATTCCCAGCCCTTTTTATTTATTTTGAGACAGGGTCTCACCAACTTGCTTAGGGCCCTACTCAATTGCTGAGGTTGGCCTTGAATTTGTGATCATCTTGTCTCAGCCTCCCAAGTTGCTGGGATTAAAGGCATGTGCCACTGCACCCAGCAGCCACTATTTCTTTAAAAGAAATGTTGGATATTGTCCAGACACATCCAAACTTAACAAACTAAACACAAGATATCAAAAGAGACTTGCCCTTAATATTTGCAGAGTAGGATTTTTAAAAAAATAACTCACCTGATAACATCTTGAACAAGTCAGCCAGTTGACTGTTCCCCACAATCGCCAATACACATCTCTCCAAGATTTTAGTTCTTCAAAAAGGGTATTCAAATACTCATGAACATCCCAAGTCTTATCTCTGGAGAAAGAGCCTCAATTGTTATATATTATTATAAGGCAAGCACCATAACCAATTTGTTCTAAATAAATATTTTTAGATTTGTAGCTTATTTCCAGAATACTCCTCAGGTATGATATGGACTACATTGATAGGTAGATAAAATTTCACTTGGGAGTTTGATTATTCTGTGGACAATAGAAGATAGTATGAAAGGTAGAATGTCAAATTGTTTTGCTAAGCTAGAAGAAGTATTATTAATTAAGTAGTATTAAATAGGCCAATACTTGGGACTTAGGCATATGTTGTTAAAGAAACCTTTATTCTAACTGCATTTGTTCAAAGAAATGTTATTAATAACTCATGATTCAAAAAAACCTATGTCATTTGTTATATATATTTGCAGTAAAATGAATGGAACTTGAGAACATTATGATAAAATAAGCCAAACTCAGAAAGCTGAGGGTCAAATGTTTTCTGTTACATGTGGAAGTTATATGGAAAAGGGCAAAAAAAGGGAAGGTGGGGGATGTCATGAAAATAGAAGGGAGATCAGATAGACCAGAGGGACCAGAGGAAGGAAGGACAGGAGGGAAAGGAAGACACTGGGGAACAAAATTCATCAGATTATATTGTTCTACTGTGTGCATGTATGAATATATAATAGTTAAATCTACAGGTATGTATAATTACAATGTATCAATAAAAATAAAAGGCCGTATTGATGTGTTGGTTCTTTACATTATTTTCAAACAGCATTTTCTTGTAATTGAGCAATATAGCTATATACAACTAGGTCTTATTAATATACATTTTAAAATATATAGCAAAGGCTTATAACTATTTGCTATGGTCACATGTATCTTAAGTTCTTTTTAAGTCTTTATTCTAATCTAATTTTTGCTATTTTTTTTGCTAAGTTCAATAAATATCAAAATGACATCATGTTATTACAGATTGAATAGGCACATTTGTTTAAAAAAGTTATTTAAAGACTATTTAAAAATAATTTTTTTGTAGTGTAGATGGACAGCATGCCTTTATTTTATTTGTGTATTTTTTTATGTAGTGTTGAGAATGGAACCCAATGCCTCCCACGTCTAAGGCAAGTTCTCTGCCACGAGCTACAGCCCCAGCTGTATTTTTAAAAATACTATTTTAAAAAATATTTTTAGTTGAGGATGGACACAATGCCTTTATTTTTCATTTATTTTTATGGTGCTGAGGATTGAACCCAGAGCCTCACCCATGCGAGGCAAGCACTCTACCACTGAGCTATGACCCCAGCCCCTTAAAGACTCTATTTTTAGGGGCTGGGGATGTGGCTCAAGCGGTAGCACGCTCGCCTGGCATGCGTGCGGCCCGGGTTTGATCCTCAGCACCACATACCAACAAAGATGTTGT